CTCTTCTGTTGAGAGTCTCAGCATGGAGGTTTGCCCTGATCTGTCAACAATGTTCCCTCAACTGACAGCCTCAACCAGGTGGGTTTTCCTTGGCTCTCATCTCCCCTTAGGACATAAAGAGCTGTGGAAGCCACAGCTGCAGGTCAGCCAGCCCCTCTCTTGAAAAAGGTCATGTGACAGGGCCAAAGTGCAGCAGGTTTTGCCCAAATGCATGAATGAATTGCCACACAATGAGGATACCAAAGCTATCCTAGTCTGTGTTGTTTTAACACGTCTGACATCTTTTAGGGCCTCAATCAGCTGCTGTACCTTTAACTATATCTCTCCACATCTTTTTCTCCAGGGGTCCAGAGGGCTTGGGGGTGGAAAAAGCCAGAAGGTGTTGCAAAGGGCTTTGGACCTGCTACCTCTTGTAATCTTTCATGTCCCTTGCTGAATCATTTCACAGACTGACATCTCCAGGAGAAACACAGGCCCACCATACCTCTGTGAAATGTGAAATACAGGGGGCTTTGTATCACATAGAACAGCAGACTAATGCAGATTGGAAGGGACCTCAGAGGGTCATCTAGTCCATTCTCCTGCTTAAATCCAAGCTAGGCCATTAGTTAATAATCAGCAATGTGGAGCATGCAATATGGTTCCTTTGCCAAAAAATATATCCTAAATATTTTTCTAGAGCATTTTCTTAGCTTAGTTTTCCTCTCTTGTTCAATTTAGTGAGAGAATAGATTGCAGAGAGAAGAGATAAGAGGATGAAGAATCTAATGATGCAATCAACAATGTCGTTTAGCACCTTTGTGGACTAGAGCAGGAGTGATCAATATTGAAAGAACAAAACCTCAAATCTGATGATTCCTCTAGACAGACACCATTCCAATTCTTCCAGAGCAATTCCTTCTCTTAGTGAGAGAAATCCCAGCTGGAATCCATGTTGGAGAAAAGAGTAAAAAATATTCTAGCTTCTTAGGATGTTTAAAAATAATCAAACAGCCAAAGGCTTTAACTTTTTCCAACACAGCTTAGATGTCTGTAGTTCCTTGTTCTCTATGGGGAGAAACATCAAGGTTTTGCTGATGCGTCTAAAGGATGCAATTAATGTATTTTATGTGCCTAGGACCTGGTGTATGTTCTTCTCAAGGTGTTAACTGCAGACTGCTATGGTCTCATGCTCACAGTATTGATCCAAAAATGCTGCCATATCTACTTGCAATAGCTTATCTCTCTCCTGTGTCCACTCCATCTGTCTGTGATGTGAAGAAGGACAAAAGTTCAGACACTAGGAAGAAAAATGGGCAAAAGGGAGCCTTTTTGGCAGACTGTTTTTTGATATCAAAAAGGAGTGGGAAGTCATAAGGCAATGATTGCTCAGGATGCAATTTATTAAGATCTTTGGGCACTGCCCCTGCCACAGACATCAAGTGTCCCATCATGGTGCTCAAAGTGTCTGGCATTGTTCCCACTCAAGTCAGACAAGAACAATCATGTTTATCTTCAAGAGAAACTGTCCTTCTTCTGGTGGAGAATATGTCCTATCTCTGTGTGTACTTTCAGCTGAGAGAAAGGAAAACACTAAGACATATACAGAACAATTGCATGCAGATGTACCTTTCTTGCATAGCTTTGTGGGCTGGCAACTTTGGCTGTCAGAATAGTCAACAAGAAAAATCATGCAACCTGTCAGTATCTTGTGACGTCACAGGTGAGTTGATAAATGATATAAAGTTCAGAAAGTTCCTTGGTCTGTGTGTGTTCACAGTCCCATATTTTCCATAGTTCCTCAAGGCAATGCTGAAATAGCAAAGAAATTGAGAAGTGATGCTGTTTATGCCATGCTGTCTCTGAGGTTATGACTGTCATGTCAGATAAACAAAACAGATCTTTAATCTTAAAAGTTCCAAAGAAGAGAAAAGGACCAATATTCCCTCTGGGACCAGGTTTATTCAAAACAATGAGTAAATGAAGTAATATTTCTCTGCAGATGCCAATAGGAAAAAAAAAAAGGAAAAGTAAAGAATTAGAAGATGTTGTGGAGTTTGAAGTTTTTGTTTTGTTTTATTTTATGTATACTTTTAAGGCCATTGTTTAACTAATATAGTCTAACCAGTGGGATGGATTCTCCACAAACAAACACGAATGCCTAATCAGAAGGCTCAAATATCTTTCAAAAAGGAAATTATCCACAATTTGGAACACTAAAGATTATATCCTTAGGATATTGTTCACATTTCAAATCCTGAAATATCAAAAAGACAACATTTACCTTCATTACTACTTAGAATAAACCCTACAGCGGACAGCTATATTTCATGCACCATAAGGACACTTTCTCTAACAGGACTCTGCCAGGTACTGTTAATTCTGACTCTTAATTTTCAGACCTGTGACAGTATTCACTCTTAAACTACAGAAGGACTATTCCTTGAGCTTACTGAAATATCCAGCTACAGTGTTTTACAGCGTTATGGGGTTTGGGATCCATGGTACTAAAAACGTGTCTCCCTACCTGTGCTAAGCAGTCCACTGGCTATCAACACATTAAATGCTTCTGACACCATAAGATAGTCAAAACCATCTCTTTCTTTTTTAGGTATTTACTTCTTGTCAATTTTTTTCTTCTTTTTTTTCCCGAGAAATTTTCATAAATCTTCATTGCTTGGATATCCATACATAAAAACTCTTTTCCACTCTTCCACATCTTTAGATGTGTGTGTGAATCCAGTTGTTACAAACTGTACATTCTAATGTGAAGGAGAATAAGGATATTTATCCATGTACGTTTAAGTATTTTGTTCTTCTGAAAAAGATTCTAAAATCTAACTTTTCATTGAAAAGAAGCATAATCCTAAATAGAAATGAACATTGATGTCTGAGGATTGAAGTTTTTCCTGGAGCAGCAGAAGTCCTTCATGCTCTTTCCTCTTAGTGCTGAATTATATTTAACAAGATTGGTGGTTTGGGAAAATATATTGGAGTTAGCCCAACTGTGCAGATTACATCAATTAGAGAGAACATTGGAATGCAGGGGATCCTCTGGTGTTAATGCCTTGAGCAGTCAAATTTTGTGCCTATGCAACTAGAAGGTTGAAAAAACACCCCATGGAATGGACTTTTATGTTGTGCTACCTGATTGCAATACATTTGCAGCTGAACAAAGATTAATTGTCCTGAATTATTGTTTTTCAGGAAAAAAAGAGACCACATTTATGTTGCCCAAAAATCACTCAGAAACAATCACTGTAACCATGTAAACCCTTTGAGTTTATTTCTGTAAAATACGTCTCTGCTAAATGTTAATGAAAGTATTGAGTCTGAAAAAGTTTGGCCACACACTGGACTTTCAATTAAATAGAAAGCTTTGAATGGGCCAAACATCTGTGTATTTTCAAGTTAGTGCAGTAGCTGAGGAGTGACTGTAGGTTTCTGTCTTACCCCTTACGTATAGCGTAAAACAAATTAATAAATGAAAATCTGACTTTCTGCTTTATGGCTATGTAGAAGCATTGGATACAGAGAATGAAAGTGACATGTGATGAATGTGAGGAAGATTACAATATCTTCATGTGCAATGCAACTTACTTGGCTGTTTCTTTTTCAAGGAAATCTAAGCAGGGTAGCAAGACTGTCAAATCTGGATTAGAAAATAAATCCCATTAAAAGGAGAAGGTAACACTTGCCATTATTTCTGCATTCACTATATTTTTCCAGTCTCTGGAGAATGCTCAAATCTTCTTCCAAATAGTAAAATATTTAAAACAAAATAGCTTCAATATATATGCCTGCATGTGCCAAGATAGGTCAAGTACTTTATGAAAGGGATGCAGAAGTTCACTATATTTTTCCTTTTACTTTACACATTGGAATAACCCCAAGTTATAGTATCATAGAAATGGAAAAGACCTATTAAATTATGTGTTTCCTTGCCAGTGGAAGTGTACTCCCAATATACAAAACTTTCCATCTCCAGCTAATAGGCACCTACCCCATCATTTGAGGACTCTATTCCACAATAAAATTAGCATTGGAAAATTTCCCTACATCTCAGCCTAAAAATAGATTTGTTCTCTTGTATTGCCTTACTCACACCTGTGAGCCACCATTTTCTGTGCTTCCTTCTTAAGAGTTCAACTATCAAAATCTTGTAAATTGTTGTGATATATATTCCAAACTCTGTGAAGTCAAACAAGTGCAAAAGCAAAGTGGGAAATCTGTTTTTAAGCTGAAATGCCAGACAAACTGTTTGCATTTACTACAGGTGAAATATCTGCCTTCTCTTTCACAAAATTTCACAGTTGTATCAGTTCAAAGCGCTTTGGACCAATTCTTACATTTCTCAATGTCTTCCTGAACATTTAGATGACTCAGAGATAAAAAGGGCAATATCACTGGTACAGTTCCACACTTGAATTTATTTCAATAGTATTGCAAATTCAACTTTAGAAACTGCTCAAGAGGTGTGTTTCTTTCATAGATGTCTGCTACCTCATTTAACATGGTCTCCACTTCCTCTGTTCATAGAAAGATTTAACTTAGGAAGCAAAAGCCCTAGTGAGCATGTTGTGTGTTGAGCTGGAACAGTTCTTCCATAATTCCACATAGTAAATGTAGTTTCATGGGCTTTATAACTTGTCTGTTAACTTGTGCCTTCAGTCACTGCATTATTATTTCTTTTCATTCTTCCATTTGATTTATGACTGTTTCCCTCATGATAGGTAATGTGAACTGTATACAAATGGTTAAAAAAGACATTTGAAAGGTGCAATAAGACAACAGGCAAACCTTCTAAATCTTCTTGTTGGAAAAGGGCTGTGTAGTTAAGAGGAAAAAAAAAAAGAAAAGAATAAAAAGAAACTAAAAAAAGGGGGAAAAAAAAGAAAAAAAAGCACCACCACTGGTTTGCATGGGAATTTGTGGGTCAGCTGCTCATTGTTAAATTAAGTTCATCTTTTCATTTCCAAGAGTATTCCTTTTCACCACACTACTTACTCTACTTTTTGCAGTGGATACAAGCCAGGTTGAAGATTGGCCTTCTTCTATAGAAGATCAACACATAGATCTGGAGAAGGTATTCAGTATGTATGAAGAATCTTTAAAACAAAATTTCTTTGCTGTAGGCATTCACTGCTCCTTCCCTTTTCTTTATTTCTCTCTGCCTTTCCACCACCTTAATTTGTCTGTGGACTTGGCTTCTTTGTTCTTTCATGACTAATATTACCATCTGTGACATTACATATCAAGATAGCAATGCAACATATTAAGCACAGGAAAACCCGGAATGTTTGAGCTCATCCAAGCATTTGTTGCTTAAAGCTCCAGCATTACTTGTAACCACCTGAAGCATCCCAACGTTTCGAAAAACACATTGCAATAAAACAGCAGGTTTCCATGTTGTTACTGAAATCGCGATATAAGACCTTATTGGAGCTGCCTTTTTGCAAACAATCTCGGCGACTTACTCGGTTTTATTCCTCACTAAAGGCTCATAAAAAGAGCTTTCTTTTTTATGGCATTGGCCTAACTACCACCTAGAGCAGCTCACTTTGGGAACTCCCCAACTCACTTTTGTCAAGATCTCCTGTTCTACAATGGAAGCACCATTCCCAGGTCAGACCTATGACCACAGCCTGTGTGAGCTATGCCCTCAAGAAGCAGGGGCCCAGCAACCAGGCAGAATCACAAACAAGTGCTTTTCTCTGCCACCTTCTGCCCTTCCAAGGATGAGGAGGGTTTTTAAGAATCTTGAAATGGACACGTCTCAAGATGCAAGATCACAATCAGAATGGAGGTCTCCTCCACCTGCTTCTCACATAGTTCTAGACAGATCCACATCTTATTTACCTAATAGGGATTGCAGTAACGACCAAGATCTGATATTGTGACAGACAGACCTTTCCCTCCCATTGCTGATTTTGCAGACGAGTTGCTTCAGTGTTTATCTCAAAACCCGTACTTATCTGCAGACATCAACCTTCCCAGTTTTTCTCTGCATTAATAATTTTCCACTTCAAGTTCTAGTACCGTCATGTGGAATTCAATATTGAATAACTCTATGTTTCAGACTATCTTATTTGTATTATTGCATTCTACATTTTATAAGAAAAGCGCTATAGCTATAGCACATAGTAATAAAACAGCGAATTATAAAGGTCTGTGTAAAGTTGGGGGAGTTTCTTCATGTCCACATTGGAAATCTGTTATCTCCTTTCTAATTTATCCAGATTGTTACTAGCACAAGTGAGGAGGGAGCAAGCTTCCTCCCCTTATCTGCTCCACCTGTAGAACCCACAGCTCCTAAGAGCTGAGGAGTTTATGAATCTACTCCTCATACTGCCATGTACAAAATATATGTGGGTAAGTATAACACAACACTTCTATACTATTTTTAATTCTCCTGTGTCTGGATGTTTACAAGTCTTTACTGTCTAAGATGTAAAATAACCTAATAGTTTCCTGTTGAAAAAAAAAAAAGAAAAAAAAAAAACAAAAAAATCAAACAAATAAATTTAATTATTCTTTCTGAGTAAGTCATAGAAATGAGAACAATATTACACAAGAGAGATATAAAAAGCACTATGGTAATGTCATGAGATGTATTTGTTAATTTGATTCAGCATGATAGACTTAGAAAAATATGTAATGGTTGTATTATTCAGAGGAAGGAAAGGGTGAGCTGGAGCTGGGGAAAGGAAAGGAAGAAATTGGAAGGGCAAAAAAGGGGAATGACAGCTTAAACAGAGGAAAAGTTTGCTTCCCCTCATCTTTTACCCTGGGCCTGCAATCAACCTTGCAGGGTCAAAATATTTGCTAGTGGTGATGTCACTACCCTGTGTTTTGTATGGACACTGGTCATTTATGACCACTGTGTTGACATGTTAAGTGGTATGTGATTTATCACTACCATAGGGAAAATGACCTTCCTCTGAACAGGAATTTAAGGATAACCAATGTGCACATTAGAGAAATGTGTGTAGACTCACACACATGCTCAAGAGTGCACAAGTAACACTGTAGATGAAAATCTGTCTGCATAGAAATCGACAGAAATGTAGTTGTTGCCCGAAGTGTAGCTACATTTTTAGTCCACAGAACACATGTATTGGAATATGTGTGTAACTCACTGTAGTCTTCTGCACTATGATGAGAGATTCAGTATGATACAGAAAGTGTATTCAATATTCATTCATGCATGTTGTTCAGATCCTGCCTATTTCTGTAGCTGATACATTAAATGTTGAGTGTAAGGGAAATACTGATGGTATAAGCATAGATGACTGAATTAGACATGTGGTTAACTTCTGCTGTCCACCCCAAAACACCTTGGAGCACAGGCCATAGTTAAAGTGGATAGTGACTTCTGTCTGTGAGCTGTCTTTCTGGCTTGGGTCCATGGAACCCCATCAACTGAGAACTTACCCACGAAGGTGGAGCGGGGCACTTTCCTCAGCAGGGTGTAGAAAATCTTCAGCAATGAGCCACATTGCTCACCATCCCTCAGAAGTTTTTCGTGCCACTGCTACTCCCTCCCTGTGGCCCTGAAACAGTGTTGATGAAGCACAGGAGGCTTTCCCCTTTCTGTGGTCGCTCCTGGCCTCAGGCACCCGTGGGGCGGCAGCAGCCCCTGTGGAGATGGGGCTGGGGAAGGCAGGTGTTGTTCCCACGACCAGAGCCCAGCTCCCAGGGGGGGAGAGTGGGGGTCAGGAAGTTAGCAAAGGTCAGCCAAGTCCCGCTGGCTCTTCGTAATCCTCTTTTCCACCCACAGCCCCTTGAAACTCCCCTGATTTCTCCCAGTGCGGTGTCTGGGGGAGTTGCTCTACTGCTGCAGGATTCAATTTACTTTTCTCGCTTCCAAACTATGCTTCTGCAGAGTCTCAAGTCAGTTTTGTTTCAGCTGGAGTCAAGCAACACACAGGAGAGATGCAGCTCTATTTCACTGGTTTGTTTTTCTTTTCCTTCCCTTTTTTTAACCTTTTTTTTTTTTTTTTTTTTGACAGGAAATCTTGCTCCTTTTTCTCTTGCATAAGTATGAAGTAACCCTGTGAAAACAAATAAGATTACTTGTTGTTTACATGTGTAAAAATAAAAGGACAATTTTGCTGATCAAGTTATATCTGAAGACTAGTGTTGTATAAAGGATTTATTTACTTGTATTTTTATGCTAGCCAGACAAAAATATCAACAACAATAAAAAAATTCTTTTGGTCTTCCCAGAATTAAAATTTGTCAGTTTTACTGCCAAACAGCAACACACAAATTTGAAAGAAATGTCATTTCAGGTCACAAGACATTTCAAGTAGGCTTTTGAACATTGATTAAAAATAAATATAGGTAAATTTCAAAAGAAAACCTTAATGCAAAATGAGAACTGAAAAGTTTCTGTTTGAAAACGTCAATAGGATTCCGCTTGATATTTCAAAATATTTCCTTTGACTGAAAATTTTCTGCTGTAATAAATATTGCTCCTTGTAAGAAAATTAGAGCAAGCTTTTTGAGACCAATGATGCTTCCTCACATAGAACTGGAAAGGTTAAAAAGTGCTTAACTATCAAACTTCTTAAGTATAGCTGGAGAATGTACTTTTTGGGTTTGGCTTTATACAGAGCATCCAGGCACTAAACCAAATTAAAATATATAGCCTGTAGAGTCAAGGGAAAGTTTTATCCAAACAAAATTTAAATAAATTCATGCATTTCACTACGTTAAAAAAATCAAATAAACAAATAATTTTGCACATATGTAATGGTCTCAAGATTTTGTAATTTCTCTTCCACTTTTAAAACAATAAGACCCAAATGTGGATAAAATCATCTCATTCTTCCCACAGAAAGTGAAGAACTTTTTCCAAGTCCTTATGCGGGAAAATAAAATTTATTTCTTAGGAACTGATGACCAAACTATATGGAATAAGAGTTTTACTGCTCTAGTTAAGAAAAAAATAAACAACTGCATTAGCTAATCTGAGTTCAAATAAACAGATGCATAAACTGGATTATCTCAAAGCAATACAGAACTCAACAGAAACCGTTAACACTCAAAACACTCCATAAGGTTCAGAGACTAACCTCTTCAAAGCAAAATGTCTCCTATGGTTGCACTGAGGGAGTGAGTGATAACACCTCTATATAGTGGCTAGCTCTAACTGCATATTTGCTAAGCATGTATGCTGGTGAAGTTCACATTAACTTAATTTTAAAGATGAAGAGAACAAAAAAATGTGCTCTCATTTACTGTGTACTGTTTACTGCAGCCAGCAAAGCTGACCAGACACAGTGGTGTGCAATGCGGTTTTGAGTCTTAGCAAAAAATTTAAATTTTCAGGAACATTACCTTCCATGTCACAGAAGAAAGCCCCTTTGAGATGTTACCTAAATGTTGTAACATGGTATCAAGACTTGCTTATTCAGCTCTGTGTACAAATGATTGGTGGCTCACGCAAAAATTTAATGATTTTTAAGAAACCTTGGCTATCTGTGCAGCGGGGTAACAGAGATGAAAAGCACAAATCTGTGCTTTGGTGCATTGTGGATTTTCAAACAGCTTCCCAAGTCTACAAACTTGGGACTACAGACTATTAGTCTACAGACTATTTTAAAAAACCCCAAGCCAGCCTACCAATTAACCAGAAAATACTCCCCAAAGAACCCAAACAAAACAAAACAACACAAAAAAAACCCACAGCAAAAAACCTACCACCAAAGTCCAGACCCATTTGAACTAGCAAAAGGCTATTGTGTATAGGTGTCAGAACACATAAGAAATGAGAGTATCATGCAATAGTGCTGACATCCTGATAGAAAATACAAGACCTGCCTACTACCACTATGGAATGAAGCTTGACTTCTCAGGCAAGAGAGAGAGCAGCAATTCTGACACCCTAGGGTTACTCAAATCTCCTTTGCACCTGCCTGGGGACTCTATGTTACTACGGACCCTCACCTCACACCTGCCAAATCTTTTTCCAATCCTTGTTTTGCAAAAAGTTTAGATTCAAATCTAAACATGGATTATATACAGCATGGATTGCTTTGTATGACTTTTTTATTCAATCGGACTTCATACTTCTATAAAATAAGTCAAAATCATTGTTGAGCTTTTAATATTTCAGGATATTGAGGGAATGGGGGAAATATTTGACATTTTTTGAGAAGCACCCAAGCAAGATTTTTTTTCCTCAGGAGTCCAGTCCAGGTTTTACATAGACTTCGGTACAAGCCAGGCTAGGATTTTGGTGTTTAAGCCAGCATTATGTGATTATACGTATAGAAATTATCAATAAGGTTTCTAGTTGCAGAGGTCGCTATTAAAACCTTTACAATTGCCATTTGCACATAATTAACATTACCACACAGTTTACTGTATTCCCCACACTATGAATGTTGCTGTAAAGATAATTAGGAAAAAGAATTGTAAAGATTTGAATTTGTGTATTCCTTAATACAGAGTCTCAATGCTATGATTAAAGGAACTCCCAATAACTGCAGAAGCTGCAGGGGGCTTTCCATGGGAAAGGAAGAACAGTATTTCTTTTAAGAGCTTCTTAAAACTTTGTTCCACCTATTAAATGCTCTACAGTCTATACTATTATAACCTAAATAATCTATATTATAACTCCAAATTCACATATTTTAACTACTTCATTTTTCTCTTATAGAAATGACTGTTTCTTCAGTTGGAAGAATTCTGCTCACAAATTTCATTTTCAGAAATCAATAAAAATATCTGCAAGAACTCCTGATGGGTTTGAGGTCAGAGCTTTCAAACAGGTTTTCACAATTGCCAGGTTTTACAGCCCATTTTAAAAATATGTGCTGGTGTCAAAGAAGCCCAACTGCACTGAAATGATAACAATGACATGGGATGCTTCAGACTGTGGATGACCTCTTCAAAACACAGGAATGAGTCTTGACTTCTCAGGCAAGTGGGAGCAGCAATTCTGACACCCTAGGGTCTTCCTGCATTGTTCTAGGCTGGTACTTATGTTCTTCCAAAATGTGAGTCCAGGGAATGTTCATTTTGCAGTAGGAAGACATAAGCTATTTCAGCTGAGATGTGGTATCTCTGTAACCCCACGGCCTACAGTGTAGACAAGTCCTGAGTGTGTTTGAGCTGTATAAACATAACCACAAGCTAAACAGTTTCATTGTTCAATACAGCTTTTTGCTGTGCTTGGGAATGGAATTATAAATGCCTTTCTATAAAAACACCCTAAGGGTAACAGATGCCTAAAATATATCGGCTCCATTATCAAGAAGTAGATTATCCAAGCTGAATGCACAGTATCAGAGTTTACTGTTTTGTATATAATCTACATTCTTAACATTTTCCTGGAGTGCTGTTAGTTTGGGTTAGCAGGACTTACTGTATTCTCAGTGTTGAAAGATGAATAGGCCTATCAGCTGAACAGTACAATAAATTTTTTAGGCTGCACACATCATGCTCCACCTCTCTATCATTCTTCATCGCGTATAGTGTAGCCTAATGCAATATGGCAGTTGTTAGCAGAAAAATGGCGCAGCAGCCGTAAAAAAGTGATTTATGTCTTAGTACCAAAGCAGCTAATATTAAGAAGGTGGTGTTTGGGAGGGCAGCAAACAAGTGAAATGTGAACTACAGCACACAGATATTCATGAAATGTAGAAAGCTGTGAAATGTTAGACTGACAGTGAAATTCTCCCTGGGTATCCACTGCAAGGTCAGATTAATAAAGGGAGTAATTGGTGGTGATGGTTGTGGATGTTCACTGTTGCCCACATGTCACAGCTGCTTATGCTGGAATATCAGAAGTATGTTAAATGCATCTCCTGACACGAACCCAAAGACCCTTACTACCAAATAACATAAGAAAGGCTAATTAAAGATGGCAGCTGGCAGAAAGAAAAACATATCAAGCAGGAAAGTTGTTCTTAGCAGCCATAATGTAGAGAGGAAGAAGTGGGATGAGAGAAATAATGTGGGCCTCATTCCTCTGCTGCAGTATTCTACTGGTGTAAATCAATCAGTTTAAAGCTACAGTCGTAGATTAGGGATTTTTCCCTGGATGCTGAAACTTCATCAGAGAAAATTCTGTCTTTGGTTTACAACACACCTAATGTGACTAAACATGATCGTGTAACATCTTGTCAGTTTTGCCACTGAACGATGTAACAGATTAATCTAAAACACGGTGAATTACTGCTATCACATCAGATTAATGCTTGGTTTCTGTTCAACGTACTCTCTGCGTACATATACTAAAAACACACATATGTCTATGTACATATCTACTCGTGCTGCTGCTAAGTGTGATGTTTTTGGTTCAGTGGGTGGAAGTCTTCCTTCTCAGTCAGTACTAAACTAGTTCTTCCTCCCAGGGTGCTTAATGCATAGTGGAATATGGTTGGGTCAAAGAGGTTAATAGCCCTACTTTTGTGAAAAGTGCCATGGAATCTTTCTTAGCAAACAGTGAGAACTTCACATTAAATAGCCTCTGAAAGAGAGCCTCTGACTTGCTCCGAGTTACAAATTGGGGTGTTGCTGTAATGCAGAAATAGGGGAAATCATGCTACATACTTAAGTTACTGAGTCATCCTGCCCCTACAGACATTTACCAGATGCAGTGAAACTTTGCTTGTGTGGAGCTACAAAATAATAACAAAAGGTAGAATGACTGGAAAATACTGGAGCTTCTCTTTGTTTTTTTGTTTTTTGTTTTATTTAATAAGTATGACAGAAGCTTTCACCTGATTGTGTGTAGTCATGTCATAAATAATTTGGATGGAGATCTCTCAGACCCTTTGCTGTTATATTCTGGATTCAATAAGTACTGAGTAAGTTGAAGCAAGTGAGACCTGTGGCAAAATGGCCACATTTTGTCTATTTGTTAGAGGCCTTGCCTTGGAGAAAATTCCAGTCCTTTAGGAAGGGGCTATGGAATTTCTAGTTCCTATGCTTTAGATGTCCCAAGTTAATTTCTAGCCACTGGTTAACCAGGATAGAGATTATTCTAACAGAATGTTTTATGCTTTGAAGTTTTGATCATATCCATGGCAAAATGAAACAACCAGGAGGACTGTATTTTGTGAAGCCCTATTGTACTGTTGTCCTTTGCAACTCAGTGTCGCTAGAAATTTCACACTGGCTGCTATATGGGCTTTCTGGACAGCCACTGAAATTCAGCCATCAAAGTCTGTGTGGCTCCAGGACTGGGTACTGGTTTTGCAAATGCCAGCAGTGCTTTAATATTGCCCTATAGAGGCTTATGTAACCACAGAGCATTTCTGTACCCAACTCCACAGAGACCTCGTAGGTCACTGCTACCACATTGAACTTTTCAATTGTGATTTAAATCACATCAATGTCCTCAAATAGCCATTCTCCAAGGGTATCAATCTTGTTGTCCTCTAACATACTGATGGCCAGTTTCCTAAGGGTTCAGCTGCATATGTGACTTCTCTGCCCTTTGCAGACTTTCCGTCCAGTGCCAAGGAAACCTTCTTATGTGCTCGGAAGAGACCAATCTCTGTTGGTGTTGACTTCTGCCTCTACAAGCCACTTGGGATTTAAAATTCCAATCGTCAATCCATGCTATCTTTTTTTTTTTTTCAGCACTGATTTATTCCAGAGGAAGGGAGCATGCCCTGCACTGCCACCACTAGAATTGACTAGATTGCTGCAGCAACATGCTGAGGAACTCATGCTGCCTCTGTACCCATGACTGGCTTTGTCTTTGCCCTGAGTACCATGTGTAGGAAACCTGCAGCTGCTAAACATGGCAAAACAGCTTAGGAACAATTGGGTCCCTCTGAAGCAGGGGCGCAGAGACAGGTGTGCCTAGCTCAATAGGAATTCTTAGGAAAAAGACTTCGCAAGGACAGCAGGATTCATCCCACTATCTCTGTGGTTGAGACACCTGTTAATTGTGTCTCTTAACTGTTTTCACAACCTACATGACTAAATTCTATTGTGTAATTATGGTACCATACTATTAAACATAATTTTTTTCACCAGTTTCTCTGCAATTTCTCTATTAGAGGATATGAAATAATATCTTTATATTTTTGGTTTAAAAAAATCATAAATCCCTACGTTAGACAATACTGAAATAATATTTTTGTATTTATTATGTTGTTCAGTCACTACTTCTCCCTTGAAAATTGTGATTGTTTCAGAAGTCCAAATTAGGTGTTCAGACTGAAGACTTTATCCAAGCACACAGCGATTTGTCAGATAATGACACCCCCTACATTGGTATGGCCTGTTACCTGAATAGATTCCAAAAACTAAGTACAAACCATAGAAATTACTTCAGCTGTCATTACTTTGTGGTATTCAAGGTGAAAAGAGGTAATTTTTAAATAGAATTAAGTAAGATTGCATAATAATTTAGGTCAAAAAGTGAGTAACAAGTCATATAGCTGAGATGAGCAGAATAGAGGGAGTGTAGAACTGCAAATACTAGGCACCTCTATCATAATTCTAGTCCTATTAGACTAACCATTTCTTGAAGTTCAAGTAAGGAAAAATATTAACATTACTGCTAGGAACAGTTCTTACAAAATTTGATGACAAAGGATGATCTGTATTTTTATGGGGACTGTATAAAACATATTTAGAGATACGAGGTCCAAGCAGTATACAATTATTGGAAAGCTGAAGAACTTACCCTCTCATGAAATGTAGCAATAATTAAAACTCCAATAGAAAGAAGCAATTCCTACCCACCACAGAAAGATCTTTCACCCACTTATAAAAGGGTTTGTGATACTGGAAGGTAAAGCTATGCAACCAAATTAAAGCAGGCTCTACTTCCTTGCTTTTCATTTTTGGAATAGATGAGCAACACACATGGATCAAAGCAAAGGGCTTTCTTTGTGGCTGCAATCTCTACCATTTGTCCTTTATATGCCAAATTGCACAAAAGCATTCGAAAACAAGTTTTTCCAAATACTCCTAATCTTAAAGGATTATGATTAGGTGAACTTGTTAATCTATATAACTATTTTACTGAATCATCATTTTTATTATGTATATATTATATTTCAGCCTGGTCAAGTATGCTGTTGAAAAATGTTTCTAAACAGTATGTTTCTACCTAGAGTATGTTTTCCATCTTTCAGTGACAACCTATGCTTTCGTTTTGTGTCCTTTCCCCTTTGCATGAATCAGTAAAGCAAGAAGTCCTTTACTTTTCTACAACTACCTTAGCAGATTAAAGACTTTCTCTGATGAAAGCACCATATCCACCTAGTTTGCAAGACAAGGAATAGGGTCATATCTAAACAAATAAATAAGTTTATATGCAGTTTTACTTCCAGATCAGAACTTCAAAAATCTGTCTTGTTCTGCTTGCTGTAACTTAGAATACTTCTCTGACTTCCTGCCTATTCACTCACTTGCTCAATAAAGTACATACAAGCACTGCCAGGATCAGCATCATAAGTACATGCTCCTTCCACCCCAGAATTTTCTTCAAGAACATCCTGAACATCCTTGCAGTAATTCCAAGTTAGGGAATTTATTCAACAGATAGAACTGAGTTGCTGTGCCTTTCTTCACATTGGCTGAAAGTACCTGAGCTTGGGTCAGACATCAGCTTTTCAAGGAGCTGTGTGTTGTGTTTATGTTTGTTACTTTTTTGCTTTGTGTAACTTTTTACTTTATGTCCCTTTTATATATATATATATATTTTTTTTCTTTGACTGTGTTCAAGTGTTCCATAATGAAGGATCTTTCTGCCCTTGTTTATTCCAGAGTTTGTCGGATCCTGATTTCAGTCATACTGGACTACATTAGAAGTAATCAGAATGCAGTAACTCCAAATCTCTTCTGGTGTCACCAAGATCAGGTCTGACTCACTTCTCCTATACCTAGTCTTTAAAATCAAATCTGTTCTTTTTCTCTTTAAAACTGTAATTTTGTTCTGCTGTACTTTAAATTGTAGTATTACTTTGAAAAAAAAAAGACCATAAAAATGACATTTCAGGGTTCTATATTTGTCTGACAGCTGTTTCTGTTGCAGAAGTGCTCATTTTATAATTTAAAAAGTTGTCTTTCCTAATACTTTCCTTATCCCAGAATGCAGAGGGTGTTATGATTTGAGTTATTGACACACCGTCTTCATATTCTGCAACCACTGGAGGCCATTTTACATTTTAAAGCCTCTATTTGCTTGCACCACCCTGTCTTCTTCAAATCATGCCCCAGGTAATACTGCCAGACCTTTTCCATTGCATAAGCATGTTACAGGTCTAAAGGATCACGTTATGCAAGGCAAACATGCACTTCAGAAAAAAAAAGCGGCTCAGACTTCATGTTTGAATGGCAGGAATCACAATTATTAATAACAGTAAAATGTCCTTTTTCTATGAGAAACAAGTAAGGATCTATTCAAGGTCATTTTTTGGATGCCAGGTTTGACACATAGAACTTTTAGCAGAAAGATCTGGCCACCATTCTGCTAAATGTATCAGGAGACCTTAATCTGATCTCAGAGGAGCGTCTAAGAAAATGAAAACAGTACCTTTCTGTTTGGCAGAAACAGTTTGGCAGAAGTGGTAGTGTGTTCAGCTGCTTTGTCAGCTAATGTGCTGCTAAAGGTGTACAAACAGGATTTGCCAGAGAAAGGGGTTAACTGAAAATTATGGATGTAGCACATTATGGCACCAAGCAAACTTCCTCATCTCTTTGCAGTCAAAGGTCTGTCTTTCATTTTCTTTTATAAAATGTATCAACTGATTTAGCATTAAAAGTACAACTTCATGATGAAAATTACAACACATTATAACACAGAGGAACAAAGGCTGGAAGTTGATGGAAATTTTAAAAAATGGAAGAAACAAAGAAAAAAATGAAGACATGAAAGAGTTGTTTAGTTTAAAAAAAAACCAAACAAACCAAACAAAAAGACTAAACAAAACCAAGCAAAATGAAACCAAAACAAAAATACCATCTTTCCCCTCACTCCTTGCCTTTTTAAAAATATACTTGAAAATGCAACATTTGGAAAAATCTACAGATGTCTAAATTTAGGGTCTCTGTTACTTTACTCTGCATTTCTTTATCACACTTTACTCATCCATATATCATTTTGTAGAAAGCCTAGGTGGCAGGCTGATGCATGTCTTACTTTTTAAGTATTTATTACCCACTGGTGTGTTCCTATCTTTGATGTTACAACCACTTCTCCTTTTCAGTCCTCGTTCCCGCCTTTTTCTTATTAAAAAAAGAACCTTGTTAAACAATTTTGTTTATATGAAAATGCTGTGAAGACTAGTTTTGGTTTTATTCTCATCTTTATTTTAGTTTGCCTTGCTTTCCCTGTCACTTTTCTTCTTAGAAAGCGTAGGCCTGGAATAAGAATGTAAACGGCATGATCTCTGCTGCTGTTACATGAATGCAGCAAGGCAAACCTGGCCATTCATAGGCCCATATGCCCATGGATCTCTTTCCACAGGGATTCTTTGGAACAGCTAGGAGAAGTATGGAAGAAGTATGACTGGCCTTTGAAGAAAGCTCTGAGACAACAATCACAGGCTGTAGCTGCTCAAAAATGAGGATAATACAGTTTTGTAGTTTAACAGGAAGGGATATTAAAAATATATATTTAAAAACAAAAACAAAACCGAAACACAACCAACCAATCAAAACCAACAACAACAAACACAGCAACAATGAACAAAACAAAACAAAACAAAACAAAGCCAAGAAACCCAAACAAACAAAAAACAAAACAAACAAACAAAGCAAGACAAAAAAACCCCAAAAAAAACCAACAACCCAAAACCACCAAGTAGTTGGCTGCATCAGAAGCCAATCAGAAGCTATCTAGTTTGCTGCAGCATAAATGTATTCTTGCCTTGTTATGTAGAGTGAATTCTCTCTGTCCACATGGGATCAATGTTTTTTTTTTTTCCTCATAACCTGATTCAACATGTTATTCTACCAGAGAAAGTATGGCATTTTACTGAGGTAAAAGTGACATACCTAACTGAGAATCAGCAATTAGCTTTTCAAGTCAGAAACATGATGACCTAAAATTTATGTCTTATTTTTTTCCCTCTCTCTGTCCCTCTAAAAAAATTGCATGTTTGAGTAAGTTGGACTCAGAGAGAGAAAAATAGTGGCCTAAATGCTATCTTGACCTACTTTTACACCCCAGTCACTTGAATCCAAGGGTTAAACCTAGGTTCTTTTGCTCTGGGTAAACACAAAGGAGAAATACTGACCAGATATTCAGAAGAGGTAAAAATCACATGAAAGTTACTGGCAAACTATGGAAAATCAAGGAATTTTGGCAAATTATTTAGTATAACATAAAGCACTTACCACAGCATAGACTTAGCCCATTCAAAATAAAAGCCATTAAAGCCATTTGATATTACATTCTGTGAAATGAGAGTTAAATAAGAAGAAATGGAAAAAACCAGAAAGACAGGAAAGATATAGAAAGACGGACATATAGCCACCAACTCTTGTGTTCCAGCAATGTAATGGATAGAAAACTCCAAGATAAAGGTAGGGTTAAGGAACAACAAGCTTGCCTCATGGTCTGGTTTCTTACAACCTAGACGCATCCTGGGCCTTCTTCCCAGGTGACATTTATGGTGTCTCATCACTCAGGGTCTGGGTTAGGCAAGACTGGGACTGCCTCCACTGTGCATGATTGACAGACACTGTGGGGCCATGGGGTATGGGGGAGAGGGCACTACCTCACCAGAGCAAAGGCTGACCCACCCCCTACCACACACTCCAAGAATCCCAAGATGTCTGGAGAGAAATTATTCTTTTTAGTCTCTGACACCTACCAAATGAGAATTTCTGTTTTACCCTAAAGTCTGCCATTCCCTTTCAATACCCAAAACCAGGTCTGCATTTTCCAGCTGTACCAATAGTCAAATAAAATGTTCAGCTTACTTTTCTTACTGGTGACGTACATTTAGTTCATACTGGTCATTATAATGCTCAACTCCATTTCCTGAGAGACAGTTCATTTATATGCTTACAGCTCAATTCTGTGCAAGTGTTCAAGGCCAGGTTGGATGGGGTTTTGAGTAGCCAGATCTAGGGAATGGCATTCTTGCCAATGGCAGGGAAATAGAAACTGGATGATTTTTAAGGTCCCTTCCAACATGAACTTTTCCATAATTCTATGATTTCTGAAATTCAGCTACTCTTTTATTATTTTGTGAAGTTATTCAACAACTCCATTCCACTAGCCTTTTTTTCATTCTGTTTTTCAGATTTTCAAGCTCACAGTGCAGTCCCTAATGCAGAGCCAGACACTAATGGCATTTCTCCTTTTCTTGCCTCTCTTTTAATTAAAGCATATTACTTGTGTGCTGTCCTCTTTATTCCATGATGAGTTGGTTTCTTTAGGAAGAGTTAGTGGGGTATCTTTGTAAATTCCTCCTGGAAAATCCAAGCTGACTGTATCAGTGTGTGGAGGTGTTTCCATGAAGTTGTTGATTCCTTCATAGAAATGTAACAGGTTTTCCATATAGCAAGCACACATTGACCCTTATTGTCATGTATCTTATTTGATATTTTATCTCATTCTTAGATATTATGGATTTTGCAGGCTATTCTCATTCTTTTCCAATTTTATCTAATATGTTTTTAGAAATATTTACTGACATTTCTGTTCTTTTCAGTTTTTCCTCAAATACTTTTTCTACTGCCCCATCATACTGAATTTTGAGCTGTTTTTCAGTACTGTGACTCTACTGCAGTACCCCTTGCAGTCTGCAAGCTGCTTTGAAATATTGAGTCGTCTCTTTTACCTTCTTGAAGTCTTCATAAGATTTTGAGGGGTTATTTTCTGCTGTAGCAGAGGAAGGTGGAAAGATGGACCAGCACAACGTATGTTGTTCCTATTTCAGAACAATATTATGATAATAGATTGAGTTGGGTTATGCTTTTCTTCTTGTCTAGATGCTCCCTGAAAAAGCCATTTGTGGCGGCAAAAAAAATCAATCTCTGCATTGTGACCTGCTGTGATTGTTACTGCATGGGAGTAATTGAAAACACTCCCGTGGTGCTGCATTTTCTCTCTCTGCAGTTCCTCTACTTTTCCTTGGATGCTACAGAACCTCTCAGTACCTGGGTGGGTCAATGGCAAGGTGAGTCTAGTACTGGGCTGTTCCTGTTTGGACTTGGAGTTTCTATTCGTAGAGAATATTTCTTCTTTGTTGACATAATGAATTTATTTATCTGATCTCTCTTCTTCCTGTCCAGACATGTAGGGGTAGCATAAAACTCCTGTGCCTGAGGGTACTTTCTTAGGCTATAGAAACAGGAATGGAGGAACAAAGCCTGAAGCCTAAACCTGGAGACAATTTCGCCACAACAGCTATGTACAAATGACCAGGCTGCCTACTGAAAGCGTGAGAAAGGAGTAGGATTTGCATGAAAAGGTATGAATCTGAAAGCATGCCAAATTTGAACCTGATTCACCCTAAGGTAGTTTGCCATTGCTGAGAAGGGCCTCAGTTGCTTCTGAGGGTTGTGTCATCTGCTAGAAATTAAAAAAAAAAAAAAAAGGTAATTGTGTGATATGTCACTGTTAACCAATCTGTCTGTCCAGACTCAGGTAGATTTCTGGCCTCTGTATACTTTCCTGCTAGGAAAAGCGATGAGTGTCTGATGTCTGAAAGTGGTGCTGTGTCTTCTTCCTGAATTGTGCCATTTCTGGGACTGGCATGACCCTGTGTCAGTGAAGAAGACACACAGCTCAGCTGAGAACTAGGATTTAGACTTTTGAATGGTCTTCTTCAGTAGAAAGATCCTGTGAAATTAGATAATTGCATTCTGTAACTGGATTTTTTTTTTTTACCTCTGACCTGATTTCAGTTATCTTCACATTTTCCAAAAGTATTCAACCCTTATATGTAGTTCAGTAAAGTGAATGTGTTTTCTACCACCTTACTATCTGCTCTTTTATACTCAGTATAAGTATATACTTGGAAAATAGGATTTCATTTTGCTTTCAGTTAAGCCACCCAGGTCTGTAACACCCATCTGCCTTTGTTAAGATCAAGCCACCTGCATCCTAATAATAAGAGGCATTCTTCTGTGTGTCTAAGTTGTGGAGGAGCAGTCTGCTCAAGAACCCCTCTAGGGATTTCTACTAGTATCTCTTGCCAATTTTCCTCTGAATGTTTTTGTTTGAATAAAGCTGCTATGTTGGTTTTGTCTGCTGTTATATGACATTCTGGAAGCCATAACTGTGTTGATATACATTTCTGTCTTCTCAGAAACAGTAATTTTGTCATGTAAAGGAAACTGTATGAGTCAGACATATTAAATAATTTACAGAATTGTAGAATGGCCTGGGTTTGAAGGGACCTTAAAGATCATGTAGTTCCCTGCCATGAGCAGGAACACCTTTCAGTATACCAGGTTGCTCAGAGCCCCATCCAACCTTGTCTTGAACACTTCCAGGGATGGGGCATCCACAGCTTTTCTGGGAATCCTGTGCCAGTGTCTCACCACCTTACAGTGAAGAATTTATTTCTGTCATCTGATCTAAATCTACCCTGTTTAGTTTGAAGCCATTCCCCCTTGTCTTGTCACTACAGGCTCTTGTAAAAAGTCCTTTCCAGCTCTCTTGTAGCCCCCTTTATGTACTGGAAGGCTACTCTAAGGTCTTGCAGGACCTTTTCACCAGATTGAAAAACTCCAGCTCTCTCAGCCTGTCTTTGTGGGAGAGATACTCCATCTCTGTGATCATCTTCATGGCTGTCCACTTGATTTACTCCAGCAGGTCCTTGTCTTTCTTGTGCTGAATCCCCCAGAGCTGACACTGTACTGTAGGTGGGGTCTCATAAGAAGGGATTGAATTTGTCCCTGTGTCCACAGCTAAAAGACAAAATAAACCCATTCCTTCTCACAATCCTCATAAGAGCCAGATACATAGGTACTGTCTAGTCCTGTGGACATTTCTCCCAATACTTTCACTTTTGGTGCTCAGAATTGCTGGCTATTGGAGGGAAAAAGGAATCCTCATTGTTCACTTAACTGTACTGAAGAGAGTATTTGGGATTCTCTAGCAGACAGTGACTTTCTGCACTATTTTCCCAGTGAATACAATTTTAGCAAGGCTGATGAGAAACAATAGTAGACAAGAGAGATGAGATCATATGGTGACATTGTGTGAGACAGCTCTTTTGAAACCATGAAGCACCCAGGGGTCATAGAAGTTGGGCAGCAGGTATTTGCAAGCCACAGATTTGATCACTGTGCTATACTTCTATCAGCAGTATAAGGGAGGACAGTCACCCTGACCCCTACGCAGTACTTCAAATCAGTCTGTGTTTGTATTTCCAGGAGACAAACTTAAGTAAGAAATTAATCACTGAGGGCAGCCATATCTATCTAGCCATGAACTGTCAAAACTTTGACTCTGTTAGCCCACTGACAAGCATGGAAAGGATCGTGATGTGCACTGAAACTAACCCAGTGACTCAATAGCCCAAGCAGCAGTGTGAAGAAGCTCCTCTAAGGTAAGAAATCCACACTGAGTAGAAACTATCCACATATCTGTTTACCAGAATAATTTGATGTTATCTGCCTTTGTATATTTTTAACTTGGTCTAATTTGTTTAGGATAGGTTTTTTCAGTATTAGCATATTGTTCTACTTGTGAAAAGGCAGTTCTTAGTTTTCTCCACTGTTCTTTTCAGATGGAGCATTTCAACAAGCTTGTACAATAGCAACAGTTCTCAACAACATTCTTAAAGTAAAAAAGAAATAAAATGGCTGGAGAAAATTGAAAACATCTGGATTGTACTATCTAGTACTGCACTCTGTGTCATGAAAGAGAAACAATAGCTCTCTGTTTTACACCTGAAGTGTAAGCTTCAGTTGTACCAGGTTAATACACCAGCAGTTGGAATCAACTCTTATGGTTTTATTCTCTTAGAGCAACTTCCAAACCCAGCTGGATTTGTCTTTTCTGGCAATAGTAATCATAGAATCATCTAGGCTGGAAAGACCTTTGAGATCACTGAGTCCAACTCTATAACAGTGATCATAATGAAGGGAAGAAAGCATATATTCAAACACGTCTTAGTAGTCTCTGAAACAAATGCTTTCTCTAGCATTGATTGTATTGATTTTTTTATTTTCAGTAAGAGGAAACCAGTTCAGTTCTCCAGGCTTTGTAGAACAGCTAGCAGTGCCTAATTATTTAAAGGCCTGTTTGTTGATAGTTGTGATAGCCTATGCTTGAGAACCATGCAAAAAATCTGCTTAAAGATCAACCTCAGCATTGTCATCCCACTGGAATGTAGCAAGAGCCCATTTATCACCACAGGAACACAATGACTGGTGAAAACCCTTCATAAATTCACCCTGCTTTCAAATATGAGGGTACTCAGATAATTTCTCACTCAGAGCAGTAATCAGATGCTTGTAATAAGCCCTCTGATCATTTCATCTGACTACCTATCAATTTATAAACAAACCCTTGTGAACTGACAGCTTTCCAATTTTTTTTAATTTTTTTTTTCTCAGTAATGAAAATTCCCCTTTTATCTCTGTAAGCATCTAGTCTTGGATTATTTCAAGGGAATTGTGGTGATAGTAGCTGAAGACCTAACAGTCTGCAGGCAATGGGAAGTTGCATCTGGCTTTAGCTTTTGTACTCCATTTGTTTCACAAGGAGAGGTGAACAACCTAAAATTCCATTACTTGTTGGGCCATGAATTCAAATATCCATTTAACATATTCACAGTGAAGAGAAGGATATAATACTGTTCAGTGCAAAGAGGCATTTTTTCCCAAGTTCCCATGAATTTCCCAGCTAGGAATGCATAGTAAGGAACAATTACACAAGGCTTGGTGAAACTCCCTTTATTTATTTCACTTGTATTGTTGCTGCTGTTGTATAAGAAAGAGCAAAATAACAAAAAGAACAAAGTAAAATAAAGTAACAGCTGATCCAAACATTTTTAACATGTTGAAATCCCATTCCAAATGCAAAGACTCTTTCTTTCTGCCTTTTCTTTGCATTGATTTGCACAAGCATTTTCTCTGTGAGCCAAATACATCTCTGGTATAACTTCACTGAAGTCACTGGACTTACACCAGAGGTGGTTTTTGTCCTCTGTCCTGGGTAAATACAGTAGGAATAAATTGGTCACGCAGGCAGAGTGTCTGGCAATAAGTGCACTGAGTGGTCCTGGCAAACCAATAGGAAAAATCTAAAATAAAAAGCCCAAATAAGTCTTTTACTTAATATAGGGCCTAAAAATCTACTGGGAGCTGCTGAATACTGCCCACTAACTGTACAAAATATAGGTAGCATGCCTTCCAAATATCAAAATACCAGACGGAATGCCGTGAAAATAAATAACTTCTAATATAAACAAATGAGAACATATCAAACTGTTACCTCTTTAAACATAATGTAAATAAAAAAAATACCAGTCCTTCTACACAATAAATATTAAGAAACCATTGACGTAGTTGAAATGTACTCATATAAATTAACAACTTTAATTACATTAGCCAAACAGACATTGGTTAAAGCACTGCATGTAGTATGCAAAATAATAATAATAACAATAATAATAATATCAACAACAAAACACAAAATGATAAAAACAAAATAGGCTTCATAATATCTTGGCTTTCATAATTTATATATATGTATATACATATATATAGTTGTGTGTGTATATATATATACTGTAGACATATATATAATATGTATATATATAATACAATTCAATGTAATATAACATAATATATAATATGCTATGTCATATTAAATTGTATTATATTTTATATATACATATTATTATGAAGATATATATATACATACATATAGAGTATATATATATGTGTATATATATATCTTCAACCCATTGTCAATGTATTGTTTTTGAAAGTATTTAAATACAAAGAAACCCATTGAGAATTAACAGATTCATTATATCTCAAAAAATAAATAGCTATAAAACACAGAAGTGCTGCTTGTTTCGGCCCATGAAAACCTGCTTCTAGTTGTTCACAGAAGATCAAATTATGATTTTATTTACTCATGCTGAAAACATTTTACTCCACATGTAATGCAGTGAGAGCATATGGGGGAGTAAAGCTTTTTTCAGTGTAAGGAAAGGGATTAGCATCTGGTTCTTATATTGATGTACACTATTGACATGAGGTTTAACTTAAAGAACTTAATAATTTCCATTGTATCTACCTATACTTCAGAAATAGATTTTTCTCAATTTATTGATGTTGACTGGTAACTTTCTAGGAAAGGAGACCCTCTGAAAATCAATGGCATTGCTTACAGAGTAAGGCACAATTCCACATGAGTAACTATAGTCTGTCAGTTTTTAATTTTGCACATAAATTTTACAGATGCCTGAAGTTCTCTACCTAAGAGATATTGCTGCTAGCCTCTACATGGTCTTGTGGTGTCACTGTTAAATGAACTTGACAGCTTAATTCTCAACTAAATACAAAAAAAAAAAAAAAAAAAAAAAAAAAAAAAAAAAAAAAAAAAAGGAGGTATATACAATGGAACCCTATTTTGCAGTGATTTTGTAGGAGACTCTTTCTATTGAAGTCAATGACAAAACTCCCATTTCATTTAATTCTACAGTTTTGGGTACTATACCATATGAGTGCATAATAATTACAAGCATCTGTAAGCATTTCCTTTTGCTAAATCTAAAGGATAAAAATACATTCAGCCCTCCCAAAGAAACATCTTAGCATGCACTTATGCCAGTTTCTTAGGCTTTGTGACCAGTGAACATCTGACATGGAGATGTGAAAAGACCAAATGTGGTCAGCTTTCAAGCAATAAGATTATGGAGGTACTAAACAAATACATTTCTGTGATTAAATATATACTGAAAATGTATTTTCAATACAAACAGTAAGTAGGTTATATGGAAAGGAATGTGTTAGTAGTTAAGAGCCTTTCTTCTTTTTTGGTACAGTAATACCTGAAAGGAGAAGTAATTTTTAAGGCTGCATGCCCTAGAACAACTGCTTAAATATGGTAACAATTTCTAATGCTATTTTAAGTGCATGCAGATTTAATTAAATCAAATTATCAGGGATGGGCTATTTTGCTGTAATCATTCAGTCTTGATTAACATCCAAATTTCTTATTTTACTTTATCATACAGTTTTTCATTTCCCCTACTTTAAATAACTCTGACCACAAATCAAAACCCCATGACTGATTCTAGAGATTGGAGGGAGAAACCTTTAAAATTTGTGACCAGTATACACATACAAATGCAAGCTAAAAAGTAGGGCTTGGAACAGTTACTTTTTCATTTGAAAGCTTTATTCTGTTTTTGGTGTAGCTATCATGAAACATGCTCACAATATCTAAAATCCTATTTTCTTTCCTCACTTGGAAGTTGTCACAGGCTATTTTCGTGTTTTTCAGGCCAATCCCTATTCATCACATTAAATCTGCTATCAAATTCAGGATCAGAATTATTTTTTAAAGGGTCTTTCTCCTTTAGTCAGAAAAACCACGAGTTTTTCTAAACCTACTTTGCTAGCAGCCAATGGGAGTTTTGCCATTGTCATCTAGGGGAAGGTTCAGGGATTTCACGTCTCCAATACTCTCTGACTAATCACTGTTGAGAATAAATTTTATCAGTGTGAGCCATCTGACCTGTTTCCCTTACAGCTGTGTTCAGAGTGCCACAGTGATGCAAACAGCCTCATTCAAATAATTGGATTAAACAGTGTTGGCTGTGGTGCCATTCACTCAGAATCCTTTCTCTCCCTTGACAGTGCCCACAGCAGAAGGAACCTGTGATTCACCCTGGCACAACTTTACTCATGTAAGTAGTTTTACTGATCTTCTTACGAGGCCAGCTGACATCAAAAGGCCTGTTGACACGAATAACCATTCTGGGACATCTGATGATATAAATAAGAGTTCTGGGGCACCCAGTTTTAAGGCCAAGTACAAAGACCTGTGAACTAAATGGTATCCTCAACAACTCTCACAGACTGTGTCCCTGCTCCTGCTGCTCCAAAAGCTGGCTCTGCTTCTAGAAAAATTGACAGAAATTCTGCCACATGCTTCAAATAAGCAGGGCCAAGAACTTCGTTAAAGTTCTAAAGATAAATTAGTTGTGCATCTTTTCTTTTTTTTTCCTGATAATTTTCCTACTAGCATTTGGAATCCCTCCCTTTCCCCAGGAAGAAAACACAAAAACCCGACAATCTTCTGCAAATAATTTAAATCAGAAAGCCTTGATATTTTACAATATCACAGAACACTTTAGTGACAAATTTAGTGTTTAACCAATTATATTTTTTCAACTTTTCTTTTTTTGCAAATTGCAAACAAGTCCGTAAAAAAACTGTGTTGTATAAAAAGTACATAAATGTATAACCCATTAGCTGTACTATGCAATCTAAATATTGTGGAATAAATTAGATAGAAAACAACTATACGCATGTATGTTGATATCTATTCAACAGAGGAAAGGGCTATTTTTTTTCTTTCTTTTTTTTCTTTTTTTTCCCTTTTCATTTTTATCTCTATAGATACATACAAATACGGACATGCGCCCATGCGCACATACATATGCACACACAGAGAACACACACACACACACATGCACACACAAACAGTTTTGGCTGACAAAAAATGAAGGCCCTGATTACACTGTTTAAACATGGTTCTCGCCATGAAGGTGCTAACACACTATCCCTAGCCAGTGTGACTGGGTTATATTGTGCTATCTTTTTTCTTTTTTTTATTTTTCTTTTTTTTTTCTTTTTTTTTGACAGACGGTGCTCTCGACAAGATGGAGAGCCGTGTTAGTACTTCTTTCCAGGAGAGGCATTTAGAAGACTGTCCCATCAGAAGGCAGCTAACTGGGGCTTGGTTCAGCAAACCTATTAGAGTCTGAAGCTTCAGGGTCAGGGTTATCAAACTCAGTGTAAACAGGGCCTAAAGGTTTCTCCCGTTCCCTCTTATCATCTCCCCCTACCCAAAGACAAATGTAAGTTTAACATTCTTTTAAGTATGACAGCAAAAAAATTTTAAAAAACAACGACTATCTACCTATGCCCTACGGGTTGGACCCTTCAGGTTAGGTGTTGACACTGAAAATTAGGTCTTACAGGTAACACACAAACCCATTAAGAGTTGTCATGCTAGAGGATGGTGGTTGAGAAAGCCAGTATTTCAGCAAAGACTGTATTTCAAACAGAAATCCAACCACAATTGCCATTTTCTGTATATTTGTAGGAGCAATGGTGGACAGGGCCCAAGGCTGCTTGCAATTTTCATCAACAATTTTTAAGTGTATACCAGCACTTTAGGTTTCTCTTCCACAAATACCAGCACTTTAGGTTTCTTTTGCACAAATACCATTTTGAACATGTAGCCTCCCACTTGGCAGTAAGGAACAAAAAATTTATAAAATACTGTGCTTTGCACACAAACATTCATTGTTTTAAAAACAGTAAAATGAAGCCAGAAGTGCTTATAACTTGTGTATACATACATATATACATACAGAAATATATACATATATATGTATATCCCTTGGACAAAGTTGTTTCCCTACAATGCACATTTACTGTGCATCAGGGCCAAGTTTAGTGTTGTACATACAAAACAGTATGATTATGCTCAGATGGACCTTAGATCCAAGCACTTTGAATCCAAATCCCAGGGATTTTCTGGGCTTACTTCAAATGGCGATTTTTTGTTGAGGGCACTATTTGAATTTAACTGGTTAACAGATATTCTAGCCTGAATGTAATCAACCCACTGACTTAATTCAAACCCTAACTCATTACAGATGAATGGTACCAACCACAAACAGACTTTATAGAGGCTTGCACAAATGTCTTTGGTGTATGTGTCTATTCATTTTAAGGTACAAAATAATAATAATTATTATAATAATAAAAATAGCTATTTTGTGTGCTGTAGCAGTTCTTGTATAGCTCACAATAAGTGCAGCTCTCAACCCCTCCCACACCCAACCACCCTCCCTTGCAAATATTTGTTAAATAAGGATTAGACAGGTCAGACACCATTGTAGTGCAAATAGTAAACGATTAAAAATTTTTTTTACAAAATATAGAAATGTTTGACTCCAGTAACTGGACAAACATGTTCCTTTCAAGTATCTCTCACCAAAGATTTTTTTTTTTTAAAACAAGTTACTTCCATTAAAAAAAAAAAAGTCTCTCTTTTTTTTTTTCTTTCTCTCGCAGGTAAACAGTTTCAAACCATCTAGGTTGCATAGTTCTAACATTGTAAGCACCTTTACAGAATGTAACTTATTCTTTCATTAATTTTTTGTTCTGTTTTTTTTTCTTTATTTTTCTTTTTTCCTTTTTTTCTTTTTTTTTTTTTTTGTAAATGTAGTGCAGAAGATGAAAGTGTACACACCTGCACACAATTGACCCTTGATCAATGTTAAGTATATGTATGTGTATTGTGTCTGTATGTATAGAGACATGTATATAAATACATAGCCATATATATACAAACACAAACACTACACACCTACTCAGTTGCTGTGTAAATGTGGGGGGAAAGCGCCAGTGACTGCAGTGATCATACACATGGCTTTTCATTGACCTTGTGGACTTTGTCCAAATTTCTGCGGGTTAGATGAGCTACTACCATGGCTTGACCTGATGGGTAACTAAGGGAGGGAACAGAACTCCCTTCCCCTAGTAGTAACTAATATTTAGTATACTATGTAACAAGATAAGGAGCCTACTGAAAGGAAGGGGAAATCCCCAATCCATACCACCATTTAGATCTATCTTATTCAAGCCCGGCTTCATGATGTTTTCTTCCTTTTTTGTAGGTGAAGTGTTTTCTGATCCTCCATAAGTCTTTTTTTCCTTCTTTTTCTCTCTCTCCCCTTTCTTGCTGTCTTCTGTTTTAGCTTGTATTTCTGATGATTGTTTCACTCAAAAAAGATTATACCATGTCTGGTCTTTCCTCTTCTTGGGCTTTTGATACATTTTCTACTTAACAAGAAGGGTCTTTGTGCACACTAGCATCTACGAACAGCCACACTCCTCCACAATCATATTCTGTATGTCTTTCTTAATGATGTTCTGGCCATCATCGTAGTAGAGCATGGACATAGGCCGGAGCTTGGTGGGCACACAACATGATTTGAGGTTGGCAAAGGGGCTATGGCCCCGCATGCGGTAGTGGTTGATGACAGTGGAGTGGAAAGATAATGATGAACCAGATGTGCCTGCTATATGGCTGGGACACTCTCCTTCGCAGTAGTTGGCATGATAACCTGTAGGAGCAATGATCCAGTCACTCCATCCTATGTCCTTGAAGCTGACAAAGAACTGCTTCTTGCAGCATATGTTGACCTTGCCATCACATTCCAGGCCTCGTCTCCGCCGCCTGTGCTGGCGATCCTCTGAGTGCCGGGCAAGCATCATCAAGAAGGGCCGATGTGATTGCTCCTTCTCCTCTTCTCCTGTGAATTCTCCAGCTTCCTTTTCTTTCCCTTCCCCATCATCTTCCTTTTTCTTCTTCTTGCCCAATAGCACCAGGTTGGCTCCAGTCTCTTGACACAGGTCACAGGCAATCCTCACATCCAAAGAGCTCTTGCCTTGGTCCAGGAGTCTCTGGACACTGCTGGAGACAGGGAAGATGTGCCAAGTGCTCTTACGGGTGTCCACTGCCTTTTCTGAAATCAAAGTCTCACTCTTTTCGCCTTTCAGCCCCCCATCCTCTGTATCTTCTGCTCCTTCAGAATTGCCTTTTGGCTGCCGCTGCTGTTGAAACAGGCGGATGGTGACTTTTGTCCTGCTCCGGTTGGCCTTGGAGACCTTCAGGAAGAGCCACACTTCAGCATGCTCCACCACCGATAATTCACTGCCTTCCTTGGAAATCTCAAAGTGCAACATTTTCTTGGCTGTGCCTGATTTGGTAAATGGAAATAGACAGGAAGAACTTGTTAGTATGTCTGCTTGCATTTTGTTAAAGAGACTTCTGTTACTTTTTCCATAGGCATGAAGTGCCTTAGGTTTTCTATTTGGTTCTTTAAATTTTTATGGATCATTTGTTCTAACCTTTCTTTACCCCCTCCTTAGTTTGTATTTTGTGAAAATTCTCTTTTTAGAAAAGTATACATTTGCCTGATATTTTAGCCAGAGCATTTTTCATAGTAACAATGTAAAGGATTAATGTAATTAATGTAAAGGATCTCATGGCAAATAAACATCAGTGGCTGCCAAAGTTTGCTTAAGCTGTCTTTGTGTTCACTGTGAGCTGAAAGGCAAAAATGCTTTATCCATATGTACCATATGCATAAAAATCTACACCTAATATCTGGTTAGGAAATAAGGTCCAGTGCTCCCAGTTCTTTAGCAATACTTTGAAAATTCTGTAGGGAAGAGGTTTACACTTTCTCCCTCCATAAAAATTCATCCTTCATTTGCATCTTAAAATGAGTTGTAAATATCTATTGTTTCAAAAACAAACACGTGCTAAAATATGAACCTCCACTTTAAGAAGTTTGCAGAGTTATATTGTAAAGAATTGAAGAATTGCAGCAGGCAGACTTTTCATCCTGTTAGATGTTAGCTGTAGATCCTGTTCCTAATTTAACACACTGTACTTGCTGTGATTATAGTAATGGTGAATACACTGAGAAATGAGCTAAAGAACTGTATAATTATGGGGATGGTTCCCTGGCATAATTGTATCAACTTGCTGAGATGTCATTGTGATGATTGTGATGGTGAGGAGGTGTTTCTCGGATACAGAGCTCATATCCCTGGCAGAAGCTGGAATGAATAATGAGGGCTGTTTAATGATTTGATCACTAGAGCATGAAGAAGTTAAGAGAGAATGAATTAGCTGGGGGGTGGTGGTATGATTTTTTCAAGAGAGGTACTTTTCTATTTTCTTGACAAAGAAAAAAGCCCTGATGATGTCTTTTGTTCCTTCTCAGCATGGAGGCCAGGGTGGACTGGGGTCACAGATTTGCAATGTACAGATATCTGGCTTTAGTAAGAAAGAAACAGTATTCATAATTATCAATTTGTCATTAATATTATTCTTGAGATATCCATAGTTGTTTACCACATTTTCTGTGCAGCAATTCTTCTTGTCAGTGAACCATAACTTTGCAGCCTAAGACCAGAAAGTGGTGATTAAACAGAAGTAGCAGGACACACACAGGAAAAGTTGCCCTCTCTGTAGCAAGGCTCTTCTCACTTCCCACTGCAACTGAATTCACCGCTGTGGGCTCCCTGACCATTTCCCTCTTCTCCCATTCTCAGGTGAGAAAGAACTGGAGCAAAATCACAAGAGACATCTACCTTATGTTCAGTTGCAAATTCAAGAGTTGCTGATTTCTGAAGTTTGTAGGCAGGCCGTTCTGCCCCTTGAGCTACCTGTTGCTTTTCGTCTCTGTGAAGTACTAGCACTGACACATTCAGCTTTCCCTCGTGGCATTCCCAGGTCAAAGAGAGAGACATTTCTGAATTACAGTGTCCAAAGGGCATAGTGTTTTGTTTTTGTTTTCCCTCTAAGTGAGAGTGTGAAATTGTAGACTTTAACTGTCACTGAGATATGGAAACACATGGTTTGTGTTAACTGCCTCTCATAGACGGCTGATGCCAGTCTTCAGAGTAGAGTTACATTAATTTCTCAGGGAGCTACATGAACCAGCGGGATTGTGCTTTAGAAAAGGAAGTAGATTATAAAAAAGACAGAGCAAGCTGACCAGTACTGTGAGGCATGATGAAAGTACTCTTTTTCTATTATTTTTTAATTGATTCATTCAATAATGACTGAATGGCTAATGCTGTTTTTTTTTCATTCTGGTAATAAAACTATGTCAAAGCTGCCAACTGTGTTTGAGCAGAGGTCAGGTAATAGACACCAATCTCACTCCTGACTCCGTTTCAGAGCATGAGGAGTTGTACAGTGACATACCTCCAGTCCAAAGGAAGTCCAAAAGGCTGGTTGCCTTGTACACAGGGTGTTACGGAGAATTCTCTATGAGAATGGATACTTCTAAGGGCTGTGAGAACCAGCCAGCCTCTGGCCTTATTCACCCTGACTCTCCCTCTAAAGTAAGTCTCTAACTTTAGGTGATCCCTTTCCAGTCCTGGTAAATCCTTTCTGAGGGGGTCCTGGACTCAAAGGGAACCTGAAGGCAGGTGATGTGCCAAGAGTGGGTTGCTGCCAGCCAAGACTCTCCATCCAACCCATTCTGCTTGCCGCCTCTATTCAAGCAAACATTGGTGGAAAAAAGAGGTGGTTTAGATAAAGCTGCAGAAGGTCTTCTGGCACCAGCAGCCTCTTCCCAGCTGCTCTCTTTCCCCAGAGCTAACAGACTTCTGTGTGGAATAAGCATGAATTACTGGGAATTGCCATACATATATTGCATTCTTTAGAAACCAAGCTGGGCACAGACAGCAGTTCTGGCACTAACAGGGGTTCTGTGCATGAGCAGATCAACTGTGCTGGGTGCAGGAGAAGCTCATCTGTGCTGGACATGGACAAAAAAGCTGGTCTGGTCATCTGCTCTGGAGAAAGCAGATAGGGTGTGCAGACCTAGCTCAACAGTGGAAGAAGCTGTATGACCCGTCTAATCTGAAAAGCCAGGCAGCCCTGAATTACAGAATAACCTAGTGCTGCTAAGTGTTAGTGCACGGTATTTCACATTCTGCTATTTCCATCCTAGTGGGATGAAAATATTTATGAAATGACATATCTGCAACAGCAAATATTCACATTTACCTTTTGCACTGGCCAGAAGCGTAGTGATGCAAGCAGTCTTTTGGACAAATATTACATGAAAGAAACAGGACCTCAAGAACCCTCTTAAAATGCTTTTCAAATGCTCCTCTATGTGTGAAAGTAGGATTCTTCCTCATTACTAAAAATGTTTGAACAGTATGGTGAAAGTACACGAGTACTTGCTTTTTCTTTACTTAAGGGAAGTGAGCTTGAAGAAGGTAGCCTAAGACATGTCCTTATACAGGGATAACAGCCTCCTTGTCGGTTGTTAGCTACAATAACAGCCTCTCTGGATGTTGTTAGCTACATTTTCAGAAACAAATGGTGGATTAAGAGTCTAAAGAAAAAAGATTCAGGAAGCTTATCTGAGCCTAATATTTCTGAATGAAACAAAATCCTGAAACCTGCATAGCTAATAAAAGGTTTTATAGCAATTAAAAAACACTTTCCCTTTCATAGGTCTTTTTAGAAGGAGACTGAGAATGGTGCAAGGTTGAGGATAAAAAGCATGCTTTCACATTAGGAAAAAACGAAGCTTTTCTGAATTCTCTCCACATTCACAACTAGTTTGTTACGATCACACAGCACAAATGGTATGAATCCTGCAGTTTTTAAGAGGTCACTGTTCTCAGACAAGCTCATTTTGAAATCAGAGTTTGGCCTGTTCTAAAATCTAATTGAGACCCTAGGATCTGGCTTATTATGGTTACACATTCCCTTTATAACAGGATCTTTGTTTCCAAAAGGTTCAGTGCTACAATAAAATAAATTCTTCAAGTGTTCTGAGACAAAAAAAAAAAAAAAAAAAAACCAAAAACCAAAAACCAAAACAAACAAACAAACAAACAAACCACCCAAACCCAAAAAAATCTATACTTAAATTTCTCCAAATTTCTCCAGATATTTCTTAGGGATTTAGCAGTCTTTCTTTTTAGGTCTGAATTAATGGTCATTATCAAAGCTTTGGAAATATATACTGTTCATCAAACTGAAGGTAAAAGGGAGAATCCTGAAATTTGGGGATGGTATCACTTCCATAATTGCATTTTGTTTACCCTTTTTCCTGCCTTTGCATTTGCCATGGCTGATTTGCAAGGGTCTTTTTCCATTTGTAATCATCCTGCTCCTCCTGCCTGACTGCTGAGGAAAGACCCACAGCCCAACAGTGATAATGCCTTCATCACTTCCATGCTCATATAAGCAGCAGTGTCAACAGCCTGGATTGTTATTGTAGCAGAAGGCAGCTGAAAAAGGAGACAAGGGATTACTTTGGGCTCCTTTTCATTGCTTTTCCTCATTTCCCTTTCCCAAAACTTTGGAGAGGCCACCTCTCTGCTTTCCTTCTGAGCAAAGTCCCTTCCAGAAGGAGGGCTGTGATGCCAAAGGAGCAGTCTAGTGGGGCAAGTGACACAAGCAAATGATGTGAGAAGTGGTTAAAAATACGAGCTCTAAGTAGTGCATATATGGTAAAAGCTTTAATGGAAGGAGTTACTGAATGGAAAGAAAGTGTAGCGGTATATATAGCATGGGAGTTTACGCATATCTGTTTTTCTCTTCACTAGTGCTCATGTACCTTTTTAGGAGAGAAACCTGAACATGCAAGCAAAGGGAAGCCTGCACAGGTACCTTCCTCTCCACCTCTGGAAGGGCTGGCCAGGGCTTGCACAGGACTCTGCAGTCAGCACCTGCTCCCAAGCAGCACGAGGTGATGGGCATGGCATAGTAGCCCGTGGAGAGACTGGCAGAGCCCCTGAGGGCCCAGGCACAGGGGAACTGGAGGGGCAGCCCTGCATGAGGTAGCTGATGCTGTGCTCCAGCAGGAATCTGCAGGTCCAGTGTGCTCTTCCTCTGAGGCTAAGAATCCTTTCTTCAGGATGGTTGGCTTTAACTATGCAGTTTAAGTTCGATTATTTGCAATTTGAAGCAGGATTCAAGATCAAGCCCCTGTTAGTTCAAGCTATATACATATACTAGGTGGGGTTGAAGCTATACAATTGAGAGTATCTTCTTCTGAGTAAAATGCGATTTTTTTTTAA